TTACATTTGATACTCAGTTGAGGAAGAAATATAGAGAAGGTCAGAAAGAGTTGCATTGTGTCTTTTTATAGATGTAGAGCATGGGTGTCGAACTCCAGGCCTCGAGGGCCGGTGTCCTGCAGGTTTTAGATATCACCCTGGGTCAACCTGAATCAAAGGATTAGTTCATTACCAGGCTTCTGAAGAACTTCAAGTAATTTAGCCATTTAAATCAGCTGTGTTTGGATCAAGGAGACATCTAAAACATGCAGGACACCGGCCCTCGAGACCTGGAGTTCGACACCTGTGATCCAGAGGAAGCATATGATAGGATGCCAAGAGACAAACTGTGGTACTGCATGAAGAAGTCAGGCAGCAAGACAGTGGTGAGGTGTATGATAGGAATGACAGATGGGTTCAAGGTGGGCGTGGGATTCAATCAGGAATTGGCTGCGAGTCCCTTTTTGTCTCAATTGTTATGGACAGGTTGACAGATGAGGGTTAGTCGGGAGTCTCCGTGGACTATGATGTTCACGGACAACATTGTGATCTTTAGTGAGAGTCAGGAGCAAGTGGAAGAGAGCCTGGAGAGGTGGAGGTATGCAGCGGAGAGACGAGGTTTGAAAGTCAGTTGTTATTGAAGGTAGATGTGTTCAAATACCTGGGGTCAAACATCTAAAGCAACAGAAAGTGCACAAGAGAGGTGAACAAGAGTCTGCAGGCAGGGTGGAGCGGGTGGAGATGAGTTTCAGAGGTGATTTATGACAGAAAGACAGCAACAAAAGTGAAAGAAATACAAGATGGAAGTGAGACCTACGATGTATGGTTTGGAGACGACGGCAAGAAGACAGGAGGTGGAGCTGAACATATTATGATTTCCAAGGATGGCGAATGTGGAGATGCCAGACAAAAAAGAGACGAGGAAGGCCACAGAGAACATTCATAGATGTACTGAAGGAGGACATGTAGAGGGTTTGTGAGACAAAGAAAAATGTTAGGACAATGTGAGACAGAAGATCTGCTAAGATGATCCCTAAAGGGAGGAGCTGAAAGACATGTAACAGGTTTGCAGTGTTTAGTTTTGATGTAATTATATACAACAAGACAAAAACCCAACATTTAGAAAGCACAGTTTGCAAAAAACGTACAGATAGTGTTGTATAGTTCAGAACACAGTTTTGGCTTTATTGACGTTAGCTTGACACGCTGCACTTCCTGTTATCAGCACTGCAAGTTGCTCAAATGCAGTCACAATAAAGAGGGTGTGGAAAAAGTCTGGACACAGTGCACACAGCAGCTCTGATCACGGAAATGTTTGCAGCCAGCTGAATTTGTGCTGTTGCATTAAGACTGAGACTTTTAGCTTCCTGTTTGGGAAAGCTTGCACATATAGAGAGAAAGTGTTACTAAGATCCATTAACGTCCCAGCATGAGATTGTTGTTGTTGCTGGAATTTCAGAAACAACTAACGATGCTTGCTTTTTATTGCTTTTTAATATTTTATATTGGATTGAATTTCTTTTTGTACATGCGTATGAACTCGTTCATGTAGAGAACTTCCAAGTGACATTTGATTAATGTTCCTCCTCCAAACAAAGAAGGAATAACATGATGTGAGATGTGTGAG